TCTCTGCCTCCCTCCCTTTGTATTCATTCAAATGCAGCAGCCCCAATACAAAATCTAATCTTCTTCTTTCCCACCAGACTTCCCAGCATGTGCCTTGAAGTAAAACACATTATCTTCAGTTTGGGAAGGCAAACCACCTGATACTTGTGCCTTCTTTACAGTTTTCTCTGGAAAGAGACAGGGAGGGAGGAGAGACCAGGTTACTGCCCCACAGTGCTGAATGCTCCATCTGGGCACTCACAGGTGACTCCTTCTGAAGCACAAGCCCAGACGTGGGGCCCAGGGGGGATGAACTAAGGCACCCAGGGGCGGGGAAGCTCCAGGCTCAGGTCAGACCACAGATACCTCCTGGCAGGGGTTAGGGAGGGAGTCACTTCCATTCCTGACCCTCTGCCAGTTCATTGCAAAACAGGAATAGAAGTAGGGAAGAAGAATCTGCCTCACAGAGTTCCTGGGAGGACCAAAGGAGACAGTACGGACAAAAACGTTCTATAAATGGAAAAGAGCTGCTGAATGTGGGAACAGCATTTGGGGAGGATTGTAACAGTTACACAGCACATTAACATCACTCACTTCCCCCTGGGCTCAAGTGTCCGTGTTTGAAAGACACTATATTCCTTTCTTGGCTTGCTTCATTTTTCTTCACTCATTTATTCACTTATGTAACGATCATTCAGTGCACATCTGCGGAGTGCTGGCCCTGGGGCAAGCATTTGTGATGCTATTTTATTTAGAGGCTGATGCAAAGGTAACACACACATCTCCTCATCGGTCAGTCAGAAAGTTTAAAAAGAGCGGTCCTGACTCTGTTTCTCAAACAGCATTGCTTAAGACTTTCAGGACTTGTTAATTTCCTACCAAGGTTTCCTGTCCCAACCCTTTCCCTAGGACTCGCCCTGTACCCTAGACAGTGAAATTCTAGCACAGATGTACAGATGTGGCACCAAGATTTGGGTCCACACCTGTTGTGTCAAGTCCTGTTCCCACTACAAGGTCAAATTCAATCAGGCTCAAATCCAATCCTGTCTCCTAGGACAGACACATTACAGACCAATAAACACAGTGCCCAAGCTTGATGGCTTTCCAGCTGATTTTTTTTTTCTTAATAATGCTTCAGTTTGGCCAATGGAGCTTCCCAAAATGATTCTGGTGCTCTTGGCATCACTGTTTAGACCCAGCTCTATACTTGCCTCTACTAGCTATGTCCTTGGGCAAGTTAGTTAACCTTGTCAAGCTTCACTTTTCTCAGCTGTTAGATCAAGATGTTAATAGCCCCTCTGTCACAGGCTTAAATTGAGGCTTCAGCAAGGTCATTAATCATAGTAAATCATAAAGTATTTAGGCCAGAGTCTGGCACATACAGATATAATAAGTTATTATTATCTCTCAATAAATGTTGGTTTGCATTTTATTATATCAGATTCCAAATGAACCTACCCACAAGGATCATTTATACATCCTTATCAGGCATCTTTAATTGTCTCACTCAGAATCTAGTCCATTCCTATCCTGCAGGATGCCAACACCCTATAAGGAACTACTTGGGAATAACAAAAGCCCCTTAGCAAATAAATTTCAACCGGAAAAAACCTACATCTCCACAAATGCCTCTGATGCAGTCCTTAAAGCTTTCAAGGTGGAAAACAAAGATGGAAATATTTGAGACATTTAGGCTTTCCCTCATGTTCCTTGCAGCCTCCCACCAGCACAGAGTGTACCTGGGGGCAGAGCTCTTCTGGCCTATTCATCAAATTGAGATCCTGCTGCCTGGGATGGAGAAGAATTATCATAAAAGGGTTTTAAAAGCACAATAAAAAAGAGCAAAGTAAGATAGGTCGTCTTTCAGTGACAAAGGACTCTTGAACTCAAAAACACACGAAAACTGTCCATAAAACATTGAGTGGAGAAGTTTTCAGGACTCCATGTGTTTTCTGGAGCATGGTGGCTTTAAGGAGAACCCTACAGATTCTTGGTTCATGCTTATCTCCAGGTATGTAGGTCAGAAAACAGTTCTCAGAATGGGATGTTGAGGCAGTTGGTATGGGATAGAATGCAGAGTGGTTTCATTATTTCTGGAACTGACCTCTGTGCTTTTGTAAAGGACATTTGCATGGGCAAGCTCCCTGAGGGCAGGGATTTTAGTCTATCTGGGTCACTGCTGGATCTTGAACATATAAAACAGTGCCTGACACATAGTAGGTACTCAATAAATATTTGTTCAATACATCACGGGTATTCCCAGGCAGACAAGCTGACAGATCTCTATCTAAAGGTTGCTTAGACAAATGTCTCCCTCCCTATGCAAAGTCGGCTTTCAAAAAAGCCACACTAGTTGACACAAACCAAATGTCCTGCCAATAGTCAATTATAGGCACAAAGACAGGAAATTAGGCTTCAGGCCATGAGGGACAGAATGTTTAGAGTCACAATGATGCTGATGAAAAACAGCAGGAACCACCCTATGGGTCCGGAGAGGTAGAAGACCTCCCAGGTTACATTCTGTTCTGCTATTTTTATAAATCTATAAGGAATTTCCCCCAGCCAATCCAATTACTGCCTTTCAGCCATCAGATGCCACTGTGCAGATAATAAGTTTTCGTTACTGCAGCTCATCAGATGGTATCATTTTATTCATGGCTGCTCAAGTATGTTTAGTTTCCCAGGCCCCCGGGCAAACGTGTAAATGAATCTAGTTTGAGCTCGATGAGATCAGACTTTCTCTTTGCCACAGTGAGCTGCAGAAACAGCAGGTTATGGCTACACACTGGTTTGGGGCAGTGAAAACTTTATCAGTTCAGCCACAGGGACAGACAGGGTAGAGGGAGATGGAAGGATCCGATTGCAGCTCATCATATAATTGGGGCAGGCTGATGCAATCAAAGAAGGTGTCCTGCGGTCTAAGCTGACAACGACCCAAGAGAATAAAACCTCTACACAGAAAAGGGATGATTAGAACACTGCCCAAATTTCCCTCTTCCAGGCTTTAGTCTTTTAAATCAAAGTCCAAAAGGTCTTATTTCTGTACCGTGGAGCCAGGGTACAGAATCTGAACAGCAGGCTCTGATTCAGAGGATGAACCCCTCCAAAGAGGTCACACATCTCCATCCTGGATGACCTGAGATGACCAACTGGGAAGACCAGTGGGTAAGGAGGCCAGCGTCCTGAAATCTGGTCCTAGCCTTGTTATTAACTTACAAGAACAGACAATTAAATTTATGAATTCATCCTAGAGAAGGTGCTACATACTTATTGCTGAAATCACTACAGTCACCTTCAAGGGACTCCCCTTGGCCATCTGGAGAGTGTAGTGATATTCAGTAATGAGATATGTAGCACTTTTTCTAGGATGAGTTCACAAATTTAATTGTCCAGAAAAGAGTTCCAGAATTGTTTCGAAGGGAGGATTAGGCACTGGCATTGGTGCATAGCTTCCTAAGGGGAGTACCTCAAAGGTGACCAAGGAGATACACAGCAAGGGGGGATGTAGCACTTTTTCTAGGATGAGTTTGTGAACTTAACTGTCTGAGCTTGTGTGTGACTTAGCCACGGCACTTTTGTCTGTGGGCCTCACTTTTCCTCTCCATAAAACAGGAAAAATAAACCTCTCTCAGTCTAAAGCTATTGTGTGTGCATCAAATTTATGAAACTGCTTTGGAGAGGGTAAGATATAGGTAATACATACAAATAGGGCATTTTTAGATGACGATAAACCCCTAAGCCTTTCTACTCATCCGCCTTAGTTTAACCAAGCCTGTGCAAACTAAAATTAAATCCTCACCTTCTCCCCGACCCCATGCCACTGACTAAACAGATCCTTTCTGGCGTAGGAGAGCCCAGAGAAACCTGAAAAACTGAGTTTCCAACCACAATAGGATGGGAGGTTGGACTTGCCTCATTGTACCCCCTCCCTTTTGGAGTTCAGGCACAACTGGCCAGCATTGTAAGACTGACAGAACAGACTCTTTGCGACCATAAGATACCAAATTATAAACAAGACCTAAGGCCATGTCAAGCAAGAGTTAAGTCACTCTGACCCAGTATACTGTGTCTTCCTCTTGCAACCTGACTCTGGCAAAACACCACACAATAATTAATAGACTCCCTTGTCTTATTTTAAATATTCCTTTCTGCTAATTCTAAGTTTTTAGACAAAGCTTTGCTCCTTTAACCAATTGTAAGTTAAACAATCTCTAAACCCACCTATGACTTGCAAAGCCCTGATTTAAGATCTCCCAACTTTTCAGGCCAAACCAATGTTATACCTTCCTCAAAATGATTTATGTCTTTGCCTGTAACTCCTGCCTCCCTGAAATGTATAAAACTAAACTTAATAATTCCATCACCTTGGGATCACTTACTCAAGGCTTCTTGGTTGGTTTCCCGCCCCCCCCGGCCATGGTCACTCATATTAACTCAGAATAAACCTCTTTAAATTATTTTGTAGAGTTTGGTTTCTCCACTAACACCCATTGTAGGACAGATGTTAAGAATTATTAGGCTCTCTTCTTACAGTGGGTTTGGATCTTTCTAAACACAGCTGTAAACCTACAAAGTTACTCTCTTTCGTGGATAAAGAATAGATCCCCCAAACACTCCATGGAGCAGCTGCGACCAGCTCTCCAGGGCACCATGTGACTCACAATCCAACCGCCTCCATCCGTGTCCATGTCACAGTACACCTGCAGGGGCCGGCTGGCATCACCATGCAGATAGATGGTGTAGAGGCCACTGGCAGCGTTGCTGTTCTGCTGAACCTGACTGCAGTCCAAAGGGTGTGGGAATCGGGCGCCAACTGGGAGCCAAGCAGAGGGACAGCATCATCAGGAGAAGGACAAGGAGAAGGAAGGTGGGGCTTTTTCCCATTTTTAAAACAATGGATTTTGTTTGGAAAATATTTTATAACCTCCTATTTTGCTTCCTCCAACTCTTCACTCACATCTTATTTTTCTCACTCATTCTGTTCTTATCAAACTCTCCAAATGCAACAGAAATAAGGTTAAGTTCACATCGTTCCTCCCTCAAACCAACTCCCCCACAAAATAACACTCCATTTTGCTCCCTTCTTTAGTCTCTCCATTCTGGGATGGGTCTCCTGTGAACGCGGCCCCATTTTCATTTCCTCAGAGTGAAAGAATTTCCTAACTCTGAATGCACCTGCTCCTCACTGGACACCTTTTCTGGCCTCTCAATGCTTGTCAGTCAGAGTACAGGACTCCGCCTTACCTGTGGAGAGGGTAGTAGATGCGCTCCTGCTCTGGCGATCACCCTTGAAGGCAACCAGGGACACAGGGTAGGTGATGCCCTGCTCAAGGTCTTGCAACTCAAACCTCTGGAAGTCCCATCCCAGCTGCACCTCCTACCAAAGGAGACAGTAATAACTGTGAACACCCAGTTATTCAGTTGACTGCCCCCAGCACCCTAGGTGTTAACATCATTCCCTGGTGCTAATAACAGCAGCTCTCAGAGGGCACAGTGTTTTGTCTCTCTGAAGGCGCAGTGGTAGTCCAGAATCCCAGTGGGTCCCAGCCACTTCTCTGGAGGGCTGTGCTGTGGTGGAGACTCAGCATTGTTGCTTCCGGACCAGCCAGGTTTCCTGGGGACTCCTGCCTTCTGATATGCACTGGGGCTGTGACTATAGCCACCATGGGGAGTAAAATGTTGCCAAAAGACTAAGAAAACATTAATACTAGAGGTGACATTGGTCATTGATATCTGTGAAACAGAGAGATCGCCAGTATTTTAGTAAACTTCCTCCTGAACCTGTAAACAGAGGGCTAACTTTCCTAGTAGGGATGGTAAGAATTAAGTAAGATAAAAAATAAACCAAAATGTCCTTCCTTTTTTTCTTCCTCCCTTCTTTCTTGCCAAGGAGAGAGAATAATAATTTTTCATTGGGACAAGTTTTAAAAATTTGCTGACTTTCAGATTCTAAGGAGGAAATACAACCTTCAGAATAAGGGTTAATCGATTCACCAATAAATACTTATTGAGTACCTACTATGTGCTAAGCACTGCCTTAAGCACTTTAGATCCAATGATAAGCAAAACAGACAAAATTTCCTGCCCTGTGGAACTTACATTTACTTGGGAAGATCAACAATAAACAAAATAACTTGGGGCAGATGAGTGCGGCCAGCAATGTGATCAGTATAGCTCGGCCAGCAATCCAGCTGACTGGCCCCACTCAGCGGCTTCACCCAGGGGCTGGGAAGAGAAGGCACCAAGAGAAAAGACAAGCAGGGTCCAGTACCTTAATTGTGCCGTCTGGGAACTGGTAGGTCAGAATGTAGCCATCGATCTGAGCAGAGGGTGGTGTCCAGGTCAATACCCCTCCAGACTGTGTTACAGCAGATGGACGAAGGTTTCGGGGAGGGTCAATTTCTGTATGTAAAAAGTCAGGTAATTACCATTATTAAGATACAACTGAGGCAAGGTAATTTTTGAGAAATCGATTTCCATTTTCTCCCCATACACCTTTCCATTTGTCTTCCTTGCCACACATCCCTTCTGACCTTTGTTTCTAAAAGTACAACCCCTTTGAAAACAAGAGGACCAGAGGAACAGGGCACTGGGTGGGTGCCAGGGTGCAGAATCTGGGCCCCCAGTTCCCAGGAAGATTCTCCGAGAGTGATGGGCTTGAACAGGGTAACAGGCACATTCTCACAGATGTCAGGGCTCCCGAGGGATGTGAAAAGATGGACGAGTGGCTGATCTGAGGGCCCTGTACTCAGAGGCCAGGGGTGACTCAGCACACACAGCTGAAATGCCTGTCATTGATGACTTACAAACAGCCTGGAGGAAGGAGCAGACCTCTGATTTACTGAGATTTCTGACCCACCAGCAGAATGGGGACTAACAATGGAAGTTAAGTTGTATAGAAATCTGATACAAAATTATCTTTCTTACATATCTAAATATGTGGCTTTAGATACAAAAGCAGTACAGGAAGAAAGGGAAGTAGATAAGGAAAACTGTACGTATATAAAGGGGGGGGAGAAAGAGACAGAGAGAAGAAGGAGGATAGAAAAGAGATGTACAAAAAGAAGAGTATTTTTCTTCTACGCATTTCCCCGCCCAAACCCCAGAGGGAATGTGCGGGTACAGAAGTGTACACTGCAGACCAGCACAACAAAAGCCCAGCAAAAATACGAGTCAACACCATTAATAACTGGTCAGACAATGCTTTCATTTTTTTTTTAACCAAATAAGATATATGGAAATTTCCATTTTGAAAAAAGCATTATCATAGAAGGTTATTTTAATTTAGAACTTCCCCCAAAAGATGTCTCCAGGCTATTTTCTACCCAGTAGCATTTCAGTTGAGAAGTGAATTGTAGTATTTTAATAGAAGTCAGACAGCTGTTGTTTTGAATTAGGATGTTTTGACAAATTTTGAGTTTCTGTAATATCAGCTTGGTTTGATTTTCAAAAGCATGGCATCTGGCATAGATTTTATTCTTTCTATCCCGTGGAAGAACTGAATTTCCTGCTTTCATAATCAAAACAAAAACGGTCATGATTTAAATATCTTTAGCTTCTGCCACCTCGCTGCCCAGCTCTCCCCTGGCTGTGGACCTGAGATGTCTGGCTTAGTTACTTTCCCATTTCTATGAAGTAGAAAGATGATAAATTCATTATAGTTATCTTTAAAAACAGAAATAGTAAAACCAAGAAAAGACAAAGAAGGAAGAAGGGGAGAAAGGAAGGAGGAGGTAGGAGGCAGGGAGATGCCGGTTACTGGGACCTCTAGAGAGCAACACTGGGTACGAGGGGGTCTGTAACGGGGAGAAGCGCTTGTGTGTGTGTTACAAAGCTTTGTTTAATTTTAAACATTTTACTATAAACATTTATTTTTTGTATTAAAAATGCCAATTAATTTTAACTATTAAGAAGCATAAAGAAATTCAAAATGAAAGCTACAACTTAATTCTAGCCCAAGAATATGGGGAGGGGGTAGGGAAGGGGAGGGGAGAAGGGCGGCTGGGTGGTGAGAGGGTGACCAGAAAGATCACCTATATATCTGTCTAACAAGGGTACAAGTGAACTTTTCTAAAACTAAAATATAAATGTTTTGACACAATGACTAAGCAAATGACATGAAATCTGTGTTAACCAGCTTGATGAAAGTATTTCAAACTGTATATGAAAACACTACACTGTACCCCATGTTTGCATCAATGTATACAGCTATCATTTAATAAAGAAAAATTTAAAAAAAAAAAAAAAGAAATTCAAGGCATCTCTAAAGCCTGTGGCCACACTCAGTGCACTTAACCGTGGACTGGACAGGCAGACCTTGTCCACAGACCCCAGGGTGGGCATAATGCCCTTTTCCAGGTGCCTCTGAGGGCTGATCTCCAAGATGCTCCATGATGGAACCAGAGGCCCCATCACACACACAAAACACACGTAGTCCCAGAGTCATCATCCTCAGCTGGAGACAGAACAGAGGAAGATGTTCCACCTGCACCCCCACCACAAAAGCTGGAAATGGAAGGGGGGCCTGCCTCTCTCTTCCATGGCTGGAGCTGGGGACCACCCAGTTTCTAACAGCAGCGGGGGAGAGCCTGAGCGCTGGGCTAGGCAGAGGGGTGAGGGAGGCTGCCTCCTGCACCACCATCACCCCACTTTCTCAACGTTCTGCCATCGCATCTGAACTGGCATGCTAACATATTATCTCAAAAAGGTAAAAAGAAGAATGAAGAAATTGAAGAATGTCCTCAGGTAAAGCACCTGCCCTCTCTGCTCCCCTCTCCGCCCCACTCAAGGAGGAAGACTCTCTCCAGGTGGGTATGAAGGGTTCCCCATCCAAGTCCCACTCGGTACCTGTCCAGGCCCTGGTGTCGGCCTTCTTGCTCTCCCGGGTCCCCTTCTCGGCCCACACATACACCGTGTACTCCACACCTGGCCTCAGGCCCTTCAGGACGGTGCTGCTCTGCTCCTTCCCCACAGGAACCTCCTTGGTGTCTCCATCAGCAGAGGTGTAGCGCACCATGTACCTGTCAATGGCGGCCTGCACTGGGTCCCAGGAGACGGTCACTGTGTTCTCCGTCACCCGGTTGGTCACCAAGTTTTGGGGGCTGTCGATATCTTTTTTAAAAGATTAAGAAAAGGCTAAACTTTAAAACCAAGGAAGGATATCCTACCCCCATTTCCAGGAGCTCTCCACTCAAGTTATCACTAATGACAGCGGAATTCCATTTAAAACAGGAGTCAAAAGGTTCCATTTGGGGAGGAAGCAAACCACTGGATTCTAAGACTGGAAAGAATCAGATCTTCTCCCAGTTTATTCATAGAGAAATTTTTTGTCCTTGTAGTTCTCACCAAAATAATAACACAAGCGCCTGTTGTCCCAGCGCTGTGGGAGGCCAAGGTGGGTGGATCACCTGTGCTCAGAGGTTCGAGACCAGCTGAAGACCCTGAAGACCCGCCTGAGGCAGAGTGAGCCAGAGTGAGACCTCGTCTCTACAACAACAACAAGACAGCCGGACCTTGTGATCCCAGCTACATGGGGGGCAAGAAAACACTACAGGAGGAAGAAGTAATAATAATAAAAAATAATAATAATGACACACGCCTCTTAAGCCACAAGATAAGCCATCAAAACTGCTGTCCAAACAACCTCTTTTGGCTCAGTGCCTGGAGCACAGGTTACGATGCCGGCCACATACACCCAGGATGGTGGATTCAAACCCAGCCTGAGCCAGCTAAACAAGGACAGCTGCAACAAAAAAATAGCCAGGTGTTATGTGGCGGGCACCTGTAGTCCCAGCTACTGGGAGGCTGAGGCAAGAGAATCACTTAAACCCAAGAGTTTGAGGTTGCTGTGAGCTGTGACGCCATGGCACTCTACCAAGGGCAACATAGTGAGACTCTGTCTAAAAAAAAAAACTCTTGCATGATCTTCATGGTAGCTGGTTATTTTGTTTCACAGAATTTGAGAGCTAAGTAGTCACATCTTCCAAACTTCTTGACTTATAAAGGGAAAGAGAGTGGAGGCTGAGAGAAATGAAGAGTCTTGGCCACATTCCTGCTGAGTTCGTGTGTTAAAACCAAGACTAGGTCCTCTTTGCTCTGAATTTTAGCCCTTTCATCTTCTCAAGAACTTCACCCCTTTCATCTGCCCTCTCCCTACTGCATCATCAGTCTCTTCTTCTCCATCCCGAGTCCCACACAAGCAGGCTGTAGGATCTCCCATCTCCCCCCACATCATTCTGTTTCTCTGTATCCCTGAACTGACAGACAAACGCCTGCAAACCTTAGCTTCGCCACTCAGTCAATCACATGTGGCATCTATCTATACCACACCACCAAACCTGCTAGCTTAGGTCACTAACAACTTAGGGCTACCATGACTAATTGGACATTTGCCATCCTCAACCACAACCACTTTTGAGCAGCATTTGGCAGAGCTGAACCACTCGGCCCTTCTTGAGGCGCGCGGTTGGCTTCCATGACTACACCCTTCCCCAATTTTCCTCCTAACTCAGGTTCCTCATTCCTTGGTCCTTTATAAACAATCTTCAAATGTTGGAGCATGCAAATCTCCATCTTTTCCTCTCTCTACATTTCCCTCTGGGGATCTCACTCATGTCCCTGTTTTAAATGCCAGCTGGACGCTCACTGCTACTGACTGTTTTCTAGTTGTTTCTACCACTGCATCTGGTATTAGACGCTCAGTAAGAATTTGTGGAATCAGTAAATAAATCACTCAATTAGCCAAGGAACAAGTATCTCAACTTAAAATAGCTACCTGTGGCTATTTAAATATTAATTAATTAAAATAATGAAAATAAAGAATTATTTATTTCCGCTATTTCCGTCACGGTTCAGAGAGCTCTACTGGACAGTGCATTTAGTATTTAAAAACATAATACAAGCATTATCTCAGAAGTATCTCAACTTAAATATTTAAAACTTTTAACATTCCTCCCCAAACTTACTATCTGCCATCCTCTTCCAAAAATGGTACCCCAGCCAGTGTGTTGCTCAAATCAGAAACACAGCTCATACTGGATTCCTCATTTTCTTCTTATCCCACATCTCAACTATCAATAAGTCCTGTCACTTATACTTCAAAACAGAGTCCCAGGCATCGCCTCCTCTCTATCTCTTCTGCCACCACACTTGTTCAGACTATCATCATCTCACACCCAAACTTTTCCAGTAGCTTCTTTACTAATCGTCCCCCTTCTACCCAGGTCATCTCTTATATTCATTCTCCTCACTGTGGCCTGGAAAATGTTTGGGGGGGATTTTCAGATTAATATGAGGGTACAAGTAATCAGGTTACATTGTTTGCATTTGTTAGGTAAAGTTCAAGTTGTAGTTGAGCCCTTCACTCAAGGGGTGTGCTGTGTACCCCTACATCATGCACCTTAGGTGAGAGCTTACCAATCAACTTTCCTCCTGCTCCTCTTTCCCCTTTTCCTTCTGCCCCCCCCCCTTTTGAATTAAATAGCATTTTTCTCTCAGGTGGGCATGTCTTTGTTTATCTATTGGTTCATATAGGTATTGAGTACATTGGATACTTGCTTCTCCATTCTTGTGATAATTTACTAAGAAGAATGTGTTTCAACTCCATCTAGGTAAAGCTTCCATCTTTTTCTATTAAAGAAATTGCTTTTATTGAGCATGGCATCATATCACTCTTCTTTTATAAATACGACACACTTGGTTGGTTATATTTATTTATTCTTGTAATAAATATAACACACCACTTGGTTCCTTGTGATCTGCCAGTT